ATCTCCAGCATCTATAAACAAGGGTGTTGATGGAAGCAGCAACCAGGTGCATTGCTTTTGCATTAAAGTTTAAATCATGCGACAGCTTGATGCTAAATTTCTTCCGGTGTCTTTGTCGTCAAAAAAAAAAGATGGTAAATCCAAAAATTAAAAAAGCTTTGCCATCATTTTCTAAGTCTTAGTGTTATCTTGAAATATACTTTCTTTTTTGTTTGTTTTCCATTTTCTTTTAGGTTAAGTTTTTATATTTCTCTGCGTCATGTACCTACCTTTTACACCAATGACTCGGTACTTGAATCAGTGACATGGCATCGACTCCACTTGGAAATATCTGATAATCTACTCCGAGTTTAAAACCCCTGTAATTTGTGCTCCATTAATTCACTCATCCCATATTAAAAATGCAGACTTTATTTCTGTATTTCCATACTCTGGACATATGTGTGAGTGAGCTGCTGGACAGCCAATCAGATTGACTCGGCTTTAGGATAAAGCCTACTTACTTGAGACTTGCAAAGCAATGACTTGGTCCCACCTCTGCTGATTTTACATGACTTTGTGCACATTTATCACAGACTCCAAGCGAAAACATCTGAATGTTATTTTACAAGCTGGCAAGCAGCCCCACCAAGTAGTCAAGCAAACCTGGGAGTGGATAAACAACCAAGCTGCTTGCAGATTTTTATTTTTTGGGGGCTTTTTTTCTTTTTAAAATATCATGCGATTCCCGGAGGCTGAAACATGTTTAAGGAACCGCCGCAGGGATAGAGGTATGTATATACTCTTCAGGTCATCGGCTGCATGAATTGGGTGAAACGCTCTGATGCCTCCATGAAGCAGCAGATGAAAGCTCCATTCAGCACCACGAAGCTGAATTTCCAGGCCCCTTTCCAAGAGTTTGCACTGAATGCTCTCAGATGTTCCTGTTGTGTGTGTTTACTCCCTGGCCCATCTGGAAGAACAAGCACAATTAGAGGAGATTTCATGCAATCACAAAGGAGCAATATACAGATCTTTCGTGTCCATCTGCAGGAGGAAGGAGTCGGATGCTAAACTGGGATTATTCTGTTTCACATCCCACCTCTGAACTCCTCTGGTCTGTTTGAGGAGTTTGATGTGGCAAAACGGAGCAAATCCACCCACCTCCTCCTCCAATCCCCTCTGCATCTCCAAGGTGAAGGTGGGATGTGCCGTATTCGTTACTCTGGTGCGTTTTTGACTCTGAGCCCAGTTTCTTTGCAGAGCTCCAGCGAGCTTTTCTCTTCACACATGCAATCTCTTTGTAGGACACGGTAAAAGGAAATCAGAGAAACACCAACACACCCATACAGTATAAAGCCAATGTAAGATGATTTTATGCATTATTGGTTAGAAAAATCTTAAAAGCTCTTTAAAGAAAAACAAAAGAGGATGGCAACACCTATTCTAACCAAAGGTTTAACTAAAGGTACGTAATAAAAAATAAATTTGAGAAGCTCCTGTAGAAACAATCATCCTTACCAGCCTCAAACATCTTGTGCTACGTTCACACCTAAAGCAGCAGAGGCAACAGAAGCAGCTAGTTTACATGCAAAATCAATGGTTGACGCGCGTTTTAAGCAGCCGGAACAGGGCAGCTGAAGCAGCGCCTCACAAGTTTCAGAGCATCTGATGCGCGTGACGTGCTGTGAAAGCAGAAGCTGCTCGAGTTGGAAAAATGTAACTTTTGCTGCTTGACGCGCCGCATCAACCAATCAGAGAGCTGA